AAATGTGTCATGTACTAAATGTAAATGTGTCATGTACTAAATGTAAATGTGTCATGTACTAAATGCAATGTGTCATATACTAAATGTAAATGTGTCATGTACTAAATGTAAATGTGTCATGTACTAAATGCAATGTGTCATGTACTAAATGTAAATGTGTCGTGTACTAAATGTAAATGTGTCATGCACTAAATGTAAATGTGTCATGTACTAAATGTAAATGTGAGATGTACTAAATATAAATGTGCCATGTACTAATGTAAATGTGTCGTGTACTAAATGTAAATGTGTCATGTACTAAATGTAAATGTGCCGTGTATTAAATGTAAATGTGTCGTGCACTAAATATAAATGTGTCATGTACTAAATGTAAATGTGTCATGTACTAAATGCAAATGTGTCATGTACTAAATGTAAATGTGTCATGTACTAAATGTAAATGTGTCATGTACTAAATATAAATGTGTCGTGTACTAAATGTAAATGTGTCATGTACTAAATGCAATGTGTCATGTACTAAATGTAAATGTGTCATGTACTAAATATAAATGTGTCGTTTACTAAATGTAAATGTGTCATGTACTAAATGTAAATGTGTCATGTACTAAATGCAATGTGTCATGTACTAAATGTAAATGTGTCATGTACTAAATGCAAATGTGTCATGCACTAAATGTAAATGTGTCATGTACTAAATATAAATGTGCCATGTACTAAATGTAAATGTGTCGTGTACTAAATGTAAGTGTGTCATGTACTAAATGCAATGTATCATGTACTAAATGTAAATGTGTCGTGTACTAAATGTAAATGTGTCATGTACTAAATACAAATGTGTCATATACTAAATGTAAATGTGTCATGTACTAAATGCAATGTGTCATGTACTAAATGTAAATGTGTGTGTACTAAATGTAAATGTGTCATCCACTAAATGTAAATGTGTCATGTACTAAATGTAAATGTGAGATGTACTAAATATAAATGTGCCATGTACTAATGTAAATGTGTCGTGTACTAAATGTAAATGTGTCATGTACTAAATGTAAATGTGTCAAGTACTAAATGTAAATGTGTCATGTACTAAATGTAAATGTGTCGTGTACTAAATGTAAATGTGTCATGTACTAAATGTAAATGGGTGTCAGGTACTAAATGTAAATGGGGTCATGTACTAAATGTAAAGGGGTCATGTACT